TGTAGCTTTATTTAAGCAACATGCAACTCTGGGATCAACACGAGAATCGATCGTTAAAGATGATGGTTGTAAATTTTCGAATATTTTCACTAAGAAAATGAGTCCGATCTTCAATTTTGGAAAAGTACGTCATTGCCGAGTATCTGGATGGGTATATGACAAAGACTATCTTCACAATTCCTCGTCACCAATGGATTATCGACGACGTCGTGCCGCCGAAAGTTTGATGAAAATATCATTGCAATTTTTGGAAAAATTAGATGAATTAAACGCAGGACAACCAAAAAAGAAGAACAAGCCATTCTCTGAATTTCAATTTAAAAACGGAATACAGTGTTGCAGCAACAAGAGACTAAGAGGACAACACTCATGATTATAGTTTGATTCAATTAATGTATATTAAGTTTAATTTAGAAAAACTGTAAACAATTTGGAGATGAAAAAAAATGAAATAAAATGAAACAAAATTAAAAATAAACGTTTTTTTATTTTCGAAATAAATTGAGTTAACAAAGCTTTTTTATGTCAGCGAGACTAGTCTAAAAAAGCTTGAAATAGTTCAAAAATGCACTCAAAATGTTTACATATATTTTCCAGATCCGGTGGGGCTATTGCTGTACAAATTTACTTATTTATGTTTCTTTCAGCTGTAGAGTTCACAGTTTTTGATTTCGCTTCCATCTAATTCCAGTTTATTTCACTGTAATAATTGGCTATTATGCTACACCGAGGGCATATTGATTTCTTATGATGCAATGTTTTTTGTATAATCCTTTTGAGTTTTAGTCCAGCCTTTATGAAGTACTGCACAGAGTATTAAATAAACCTGTACATCTGGCTGTAAATAAATATAATAATTTTTATTTTAAAAATGGTATTAAAGAGTCTGTTGGGCGTGTATATCAGTACTTTTCCAAAATCTGTATTTATATTTTACAAAAACTGTATCTTCCAATTTTCTGGTGTTTGTAATTGATTCGATTAGAATATTCTTGAGGAAATTTGTTAAAGTAAAAGAGCAACATTTCATATAAAAAATGTATTGGCACGTTGCAGTTTTATTTTGACAAATTTCTTGAGATCACGAATATTCTAGTCGGTTCAGTTCAATCTCAAGCGACAAAACAGAATGTCTGATGTGCTAAAATCGGTACATTCGACGAGAAAAGAAGAAGAAGAAGTATAAGAAGAAGAAGCAGTTTTTGGTACATTTTTCTGATAGCCTAACAAATTGATACCAAGCTATTTGGTATCATTTAGAAGAGCTATTTGGTACTAAATTTAGCTCCCGAAGATTTTTCCGCGGAACTTTTCTATATAACATTTTTCCTCTAAGCCCCTCAATTCTAGTATGAGTGTCAATCATCGTTCGCGTTTATATTTGATATTTTATCAGTAAGAATATTTCATGCTTAAGAGATATGAGAAAATGTTTATTTGTTGAAGATAAGAAATGATTCTGTACCCAAAATTTAAATTGCTTCAATCATAAAAATTAATGTCTTCAGAGAGCAACGCAACAGCGTATGTCATATAAGCGATGATATGCGTCATTTATGACTGTACCCACAAATATTGAACCAGAGGTCACAACGGGGCTTCGACCCGAACGCCCGACCGATGACCGCTTTTTCTTACTTTTTGTATCAGTTAAATCCTCTTAAAAAAATACTCGAGTTCGGGGAATCACGGGTTTCGGTAAAAAAAATAATTTCGGGTCGGGCTTCGGTCGGACTCGGGCAAAGACGCAGGAAATTCGATCGGGCCTCGGGCCAATTTTTCCATCCCGTTGCAACTTGCAACTGACGTGCAAAATATTATTTTAAAAATAACAAGTTGAAATAAAAACGGCGTGACGGAACGAATATATAATTGAACAAGCAGACGTTGTGATTAAAAATCGTATTTTTGTTTTATATATCATAAGAGATGACAGTGACAAAGTCTGAAAATAATTCAAGTGCAAGAAATGTGATTGCCTCACATATCGACGAGAATTTGGAGAAAGAGCAAGAATCAATTGCAATACAATCGGAAACCAATTTGACCCAAACTGAACTAATGCAATCAACAAATGTGTATTCGCTTGAATTGTCGGTTTTGGTGTTGTCCTTTTCGTTAAGTTTAACCGAACCAATGTTTCAAACGGAAATTTTCCAACAAAGCTGCATGCTCAAAAATAACGAATCCATCTGTGGATTGATTGCAAACAAGCAAGCACCAGAAGAACTTAAGGTAAATAAATAAGTCACACATTTAACAAATGGATGTTCGCAATTCAAACCGTTTATTTCTTATCAAGCACTTGGAGACCGAATTAGAAATATATGTATCGAAGATATTTATGGTTGGGACTGTTTTAGGAAGTATTTTTCCAGTATTTATAAGCTTTTTTATCGTGCAATGGTCCGATAGATTTGGACGGAAACCTCTTTTATTAAGCTCGTTTCTCGGTAAGCAAACATGTTTCGTCTGGCAAATAGGAGATTTAAATTTGTGATTCGTTTTGCTAGGATTTTTTCTGAGCTATGCCCTTTTGTGTGTGATATCGATTGCATCGCATTATTATAAAATTAATCCATGGTTCTACGTATTGGCATTTATTCCACTATCAATATTTGGTAGCCCATGTACATTGTCCACAGGAGTGTACACTTACATAAATGATATTTCATTGCCTCAAGATCGTAGCCTTAGGTTTGTTTCATTTAATTCGTTCATTAGTTATGAATCTCCAACAATAAAGCTTCTTTATTAAATGTTTTATTCTCAACAGATTGGCAAGATTAGAAGCAATCCTTCTTCTCGGAAGTATTATGGGTATTTTGACCTTTGTATATATCAAAATTTCGACACCAGTTGCATTTGGATGCTCTACTTTGTGTATATTCTTCGGGTTATGCTGTATATATTTCTTTGTTGATGAAAGTATTAAAATAGAAATCGAGCCAATTAGTTGCATCGTAAGCGGAATATAATATTCCATTTTATTATCTTATTGTTGAAGATGTTTGGCTGAATTGTTCGAATTTTTATGAAAATCTAGGAGAAATTCAGAGCACTTTATGATTGGAAACATGTGGCGGATATATTTTCTACTACTTTCAAAAGACGAGAACATAATGGCAGAATTCTTCTATGGCTTGTAATCGCTACATTGGTTTTGGCCGCATTCAGTTCAGGTAAGTGTTACAAACATAACAATTTGGCTCGATCCATTTTGTGATTTATGGACGGATGGACACGTTTTTCCTATTTAAAAAGTCGGAGTTTTTCGTCCGTTTGACACCTTTGCTCCATATAAACTGAATGCATTCTCAACATAATCATTTTACAGAGGGTGCCGCATCCGAACACTACTTGTTTGTGCGCGACCGATTCAAATGGATGCCAACGGACTTTGCCTTATATTCTGCCTTCAATATGATTTGTAAAGTATTTGGAAATCTTATTGGAATTTATGTACTGCACAAAATGTTTGGAATGCCCGAAATATTCGTGATACTTATCAGTTTGTTCAGTGCAATGACCGATCATATTTTTATCGGGCTGGCTGATTATTCAATTCAATTATACATTGGTGAGTGATGTTATAGCGTAAACCGATGACTTGTTCTTGAGTTGTTGTGAATGTTTCACATAACTTTACCAAACGAAAATTATCTTTTTACAGCGGCGGTAGTGTTCATGATCAAGGTGGTATCGTTCCCTCTATGCCGTTCCTATCTAGCTTCTTTGGTTCCGTCGTCCGATATTGGTAAAGTGTTTTCTGTGATAAAATCATTGGAATTATTGGTTACAATCGCGGCAGTGCCTCTTTATACATTTATTTATGACAACACTATCGCCACATATCCGGGGGCATTCAATTTATTTAGTGCAATTATTTTTATTATCTGCATCCTACTCATGACGTAAGTAAACGTAAAAAAAATATCATTAAAAAATATGAACATGGCCTGTATTTTTTATTTGTAGAACGGTATTTTACATTCGAGGCAAATGGCAAGAAACTGCCAACTATGAACGAATGACGACCTGATTGAATTTATCTTTTAATAACATTTTTATGAATAAAGAGTTCATAATTAAAATTGAAACTATCGATGGAAACTGTATATGAATAAAAATAATAATAATTAAAAAACACACTTTAGATTTCACACAGTTTTTGTTAAACATTTTATTGTGATAAATTTTCTTTACAAAGACTATGATCTGTATATATGCATAGTAGGGTGGGTCAAGTAAGCCGAATCTGGCCTTTGTTTTGCGATACAATCACGTTAAAATACACTTTCCCTACAAAAATGCAATTAAATCTTGCAATTAAATATGCAATTAAATCTTGTATTTATAGTCATTTGAACGTTCATCATAGCTTGAATATCGAGAATTTCATAGAAATCAAGAGTAAATGAACGAATGATCAAAAAGTCTTCACAAAATGATTTACATTCAAAGGAAAATCAACTTTTCAAACTGTTCTAACTACTCAATTCGATTCATTTTCATCCAATAAGCAATTCTAATGTCACTTGAAAATAATCTGAATCGATTTTTATACAGCCATAGTGACTGATTTGCATGTATGTTTTTAACTCGCAATATCTCGAATGCACACTTTTTAAGTTCATTTTCATTGTTTGTGAATGTATATTGGAGGGTTTTTTGACACGATAATCTTTAATCTGACATTTATTTTGTGATATGTAGAATGAATTTCGGACACGATCGGATTGGTCGAACTAACATTGGTGTAGTCCTACGGGTCCACGAGATTTTCGGATCAAAATATTCATTGTTTAATCAGGTTTAATTAGTGTCATTTGTTCTTATTGTTTTATTTTTTGTCCGCTGATTTTAAATAAGATCTTAGATTTGTAATTTGATATCATTCGATCGAACAAAATTCCATTTTTGACTGTTAGATGTAATATGAAACCCTTGTAACTTTAATATAAGTAAAGAA